TAAAAGCAAATTTTGACATTACTTATGAAAAAAGGCTATTTTTTGATAGTCCTACAAAATAGTATCATGGTATGCAGTTGATAGCACGTGAGTAAATAAAATTATGAATAAAGAGAGAAGAGGAGGAGCTCCAGAATGGAGCTGTGAGGAACATGGTTATTTAAAGCAAAGATACAGTAAACAAATATAAAAAGAAATCTAGGAAGGCATTATTAGAGAGTGACCTCAGCAAAAATAGCAGAGAAAGAAAAACATACCAGAGTAAGACTTTCATAAATTCTCTCCTCCATGAAAGCAACAAGAAAACTGGCAACAAAATAATCGCGAGAATCAACTTTTTCAAAACTCTGACAATCGGAGGCTTGTGGTGATTCCTGAAGCTGTTTACTGAAGAAAAACATCTTTCTCTTAGAAAAAACACTGGGATTTGTGGCATTATATTTTGCTGCATTTCCCACTTCCTCTCTTTAGCTCCGTGGTGACAATGTAAATCAATAGCCCCAAACTACAGCAAAGTCCACATTCTGGCAGCCACCAGAGGGTACAGCACGGAGTCTCAAATCCTTTAAGGGATTATTCTTAAAGAATTATCATTATTTAACTTGTCTGCAGGTTTTCTGGAGGACCCCATTTTCAAATCTGTTTTTCTTTGACCTATCTTGGAGTTTTCCCACTGCAAAAAGCCTTTTTCCTGGAGAAGTTTGTTTAAAACATGTAGAGTCAATTTTTTAACTTCATAGGTGCCTAAGGCAATGAGTAGTAGTAGGGGCAAACAATACATTTAAAACTGTTAAATGGAAAAGCAGTGGAATTATATGTCGATATGGGTTTGAAAAAACTGCATATATTCCTGGGCATCTGGAAGGCCACGCATATAGCCTGAATTTTTTCCCTCAAAATTTAAATGTTGAAGTCTTACCTGCCAGTACCTCCAGACATGACTTTATTTGGAGGTAAGGTTTGTTACCTTACCAAGAGGTAATTAAGGTAAAACAATATGCCCTAATCCAATATGCTTATAAGAAGTCAGAACAGACACACATAAAGTAAAGATCATATGAAGAAACAGGAAATAGTCATCTACAAGCCAACAAAGGAGGCCCTCAAAGGGAACCAACCCTGCTGATAATCTTGGACTTCTACAATTTTAAGAAACTTAATTTCTCTTGCATTAGCCACCTGTTCATGATACTATGTCATGGTAGCCCTAGCCAAGTAGTACACCCAGGGTTGTGTGCATTTCAGGAAAGACTTGAAAAGACCCTAAGCTCTCAACTCTGGATGGCTTTTAGGCCTCACACAAGTGACAGTAGACTATCAGTAGAGTTATCAACTGCCTGACATAGTGTTGAAGGTATGAGTCCATGACTCAGAGCCCCCAACAAATACTGAGAGACTTATTGGTTCTAGAAATTTAATAAAATCCATGTCCAATTACTAGCTGATCTCTAAACTAAGCAATAGTCTAGTGCTCACATATTATAAAGAAAGTAGTCTTTACAGAATTCGTTCAGAAAAGTCCATTTTAAAAAGAGCGGCCAGCCATGGTGGCTCATGCCTGCAATTCCAGCACTTGGGAGGCCAAGGTCGGTGGATCATGAGGTCAGGAGATCACGACCATCCTGGACAAGATAGTGAAACCCTATCTCTGCTAAAAATATAAAAATTAGCCAGGTGTGGTGGTGTGCCCCTGTAGTCCAAGCTACTCAGGAGGCTGATGAGGGAGAATTGCTCATACCTGGGAGGCGGAGGCTGCAGTGTGCCGATATCACGCCGTTGTACTCCAACCTGGGTGACAGAGCAAGACTCTGTCTTAAAAAAATAAAATAAAAGGAGCAAACAACAACAAACCTCTGGGGAGAAAAGAGAATGTGATTTCCAGAGTTGCCACATTATGTTACATAAAATGTTGTTTTCAATAAGTTATAAGTGGTGTTGAACAATGAGAACACATGGACACAGGGAGGGGAGCACTACACACTGGGGTCTATTGGGGGAAAATAGGGGAGGGACAGCGAGGGGTGGGGAGTTGGGGAGAGATAGCATAGGGAGAAATGCCAGATATATGTGATGGGGAGGAAGGCAGTAAATCACACTGCTATGTGTGTACCTATGCAACATGTTCCTATCTTGCATGTTCTTCACATGTACCCCAAAACCTAAAATGCAATAAAAATAAAATTTAAAAAAAAGTTATAAGTTTTACAAAGAAACAAACATGTATGGACTAAACACAGGAAAAATGCAATCAATAGAAGCTTGCTTAGCAAAGGCACTGCAATCACTAGACAAAGACTTCAAATCAACTATTTAAAACACATTTAAAGAATTAAAGGAAACCGTGTCCAAAGAACTAAAAAGAAAGTATGGTAGTATCTTACCAAAAAGTTACATAATAAAGAGATAGAGATTATAAAAAAAGAAACAAAGAGTAATTCTGGGGTTGAAAGGCACCATGACCAAAACAATAAATTCACTAGAAGGCTGGTATTTCCTATGGCAACTGTTACAAATTACCACAAAGAACAGAAATTTATTCTCTAACAGTTATGCAGGCCAGAAGTCTGGAATCAGTTCACTGGGTCAAAAACAAGGTGTGAGGAAGTCCATGCTACCTCCAGAAACTATAGGGAAGAATCCATTCCCTTTCTCTTCCAGCTTTGGTGGCTGCCAGCATTGCTTGGCTGTGGCAGCAACACTCCAATTCCTGTCTCCATGGTCACATAGCTTTCCGTCTTCTGTCTGTCATCAAATGTAATTCTGCCTCCTTCTTATGAGGATAGATGTTGTTGCATGTATCCTTATATAGACATGTGTCCTTATATGTTGTTTCATGGAGGACTGCACCTGATAATCTAGGATAATCTTCCCACATTTAGTGTACCATGTGAAGTATTACAGTTCAGTATACATAGTCATCTAGTATTTTTAAAAGAGAAAGAGGCAGAGTGTTATTTGTTCAGATCAAGGTAAGTTGCTGTATTTGTTGGTAGGAGGATGCAGGAGTTTATTTTCTGATAATTGAAAGGAGAGCTTAAATAAGGGAAATAAAAAGAATGGTTCAGAAGCAGCAGCATGTAGCTACAGAAGCTCCTATGATGTGTTTCCACCCTGTTCTTGAACAATGAAATGTAAGCAAATGCTGCTTGATAGGATGGGTAAAAGTTACTTAAAACCAGATGGTAGAGGAAAGCTCTAGAGTCATTGAAAAGATCGGTTTTTTTGAAAAGATACGTTTTTGAAAAAAAATTTATTATTATAATGATTTTTGTATTAGAGTAAAATTCCCAGGGATCACAATGACAGAGTTTGGTTGAGCAATAATAAACAGAGATAAATGGTCACAGAGCCATATGGAGCCAACAGAATAGAGAGAAGAAATGCTTCCATTCTGGAAGAAAGCAAGAATGACAGAATGAGAGTGCCTGGGAAGACAAGTGACTCCATGTGCCCACAACCAGAAGTAACCTCTCAAATAGGGAAATAGATAATAGATACTGTTATTTGTGCTTCTGTGATTACAGAAATCTCATTCTCACATTATCACTGAGGCTGATGAGATTTTAAAATTGTGCCCATGAATCACTGTCTATATCCCTGTGGTAGACAACTTAATGATGATGGCTTTAAGCCCCAATTTTACTTCTTTTTTTTTTTTTTTTTTTTTTTTTTTTTTGAGACGGGGTTTCGCTCTTGTTACCCAGGCTGGAGTGCAATGGCGCGATCTCGGCTCACCGCAACCTCCGCCTCCTGGGTTCAGGCAATTCTCCTGTCTCAGCCTCCTGAGTAGCTGGGATCACAGGCACGTGCCACCATGCCCAGCTAATTTTTTTTTGTATTTTTAGTAGAGGCGGGGTTTCACCATGTTGACCAGGATGGTCTCGATCTCTTGACCTTGTGATCCACCCACCTCGGCCTCCCAAAGTGCTGGGATTACAGGCGTGAGCCACCGCGCCCGGCCCAATTTTACTTCTTACTAAAATTCTGGAAGGAGAAATCTAAGGATTTTAGTAGCTTGATCTTGCTATGATCATATGGTTACCCAAATGGTTTGAGATTTGGCAATGTCCTGAGTTGAGTGACAGAGCTGGAAACATGTAATGATTGATGATCTTCAGGAAGTGACATCAGCTTGAACATATCAGTTCCAGAAAGCATCACTTTCCTGAGCAAAACTCTGTGGATAAAAAGAATCATTGGATTTTAACAAGCAGGCTCCAGCTTCTGTTGGAGATGCCTATGTAAGTGAAGAGCTGGACAGTAGCAGCAGCTTACACTATGGGTTTTTAGGAAAATAATTTGGATAAAAAGAATATAGAAACATACTACCTTTCTGGACACAGGTGCTATTAATATAGTATCCAGGTGCATATGGTACACTTTTGGAAATTTCTTAATCTTCACACAAAAATTTTAGTTCTGAACAAAAGATATTGTAGATTAATCTGAGCAAAAGATATTGTACATGTAAGTGAAAGCAGAATGAATTTAACTTGGTGTGTTACTAATTCAGGAAGCACTCTAATTGAAGAAAAAAGCATTGTTTAACTTAGACATAAGGTTTCACTGCTAAGAAAAATTTACAAAACCTGAAAGGTGATGTTTTTCCCTTAATAAAAGCAGTAAGATTTCAGTTTGCAGTTTAATTTTCATATTTTGTTATAGTTAAAGCCATAAGGATACATTAGTTAAAAATTGCTCTCAGAAATCAGGTTTTTGTAAATACAGATTTGAAGGCTTAATATTTTAGAAGTTGCCTTTGTTTTCAGGTTTAATACAAAAGAATGCCACCTCTGACAATGGGACTGAATATATATGAACAGTTACAAGTATTGATTATAAATCTATAAATGTCTTATAATCTTCACTGTGTGGTATCTAAAGTTTTCTCTTGTGTTGTCAAAGATATTTCAGCTTAACATTTCTATTTCATATTTGTAGGTAACAATTATTAGAAATACTTCTTTTTGTAAAGTCTGTATGTTTGTTCTTATTTGTAGTTTGGTTGCCACAAAGGAAACAAATAGTGCAAGATCTCGAAGTGCTCCAATGTCACCTTCTGACTTTCTGGATAAATTAATGGGGAGGACATCAGGATATGATGCAAGAATCAGACCCAATTTTAAAGGTAATTGCTCTGTTTGCTACTTTATGTGTGTGTTTTAAATATGCTTCAAGAAGATACAATTTAAATTGATTCCATCAGAAATTCTAATGCTTATTTTCAACAATCTTCCAAATACTACATTAGTCACAGATGTGTCTTGGAAAAGAAATCTATTCACAGGTTCTCAATTATCATAATTTGCCTTCTTTGGCCCAACTATGTTTTTTCTTTTTTTTCCCCTTCTCTAACCGTTACAATACTTCTTGCCTTGACCACTGATTTTAGGAGTATACATGTATGTACATAACATTTATTTAATTATTAGGTCAGTTATCTCACTAGCCGGAATTAAAACTTCTTTAAATGCTGGTGATAGACTTTCCTATCTTTTATTTTTTAATTGCATTTTAGGTTTGGGGGGTACATGTGAAGAACATGCAAGATTGTTTCATAGGTACACACATGGCAGTGTGATTTGCTGCCTTCCTTCCCCTCAGCTATATCTTTCATTTCTCCCCATGCTATCTCTCACCACCTCTCCACCCTCTTGTCCCTCCCCCATTTCCCCCCAATGGACCCCAGTGTGTAGTGCTCCCCTCCCCGTGTCCATGTGTTCTCATTGTTCAACACCCACCTATGAGTGAGAACATGCGGTGTTTGATTTTCTGTTCTTGAGTCAGTTTGCTGAGAATGATGGTTTCCAGGTTCATCCATGTTTCTACAAAGGACATGAACTCATCATTTTTTATGGCAGTGTAATATTCCATGGTGTATATGTACCACATTTTCCCTGTCCAGTCTATCATCGATGGGCATTTGGGTTGATTCCAGGTCTTTGCTATTGTAAACAGTGCTGCAATAAACATTCATGTGCATGTGTCCTTATAGTAGAATGATTTATAATCCTTTGGATATATACCCAGTAATGGGATTCTGGGTCAAATGGGATTTCTATTTTTAGGTCATTGAGGAATCGCCACACTGTCTTCCACAATGGTTGAACTAATTTACACTCCCACCAACAGTGTAAAAGTGTTCCTATTTCTCCACATCCTCTCCAGCATCTGCTGTCTCCAGATTTTTTAATGATTGCGATTCTAACTGGTGTGAGATGGTATCTCAATGTAGTTTTGATTTGCATTTCTCTAATGACCAGTGATGATGAGCATGTTTTCATGTTTGTTGGCCTCCTGTATGTCTTCTTTTGTAAAGTGTCTGTTCATATCCTTCACCCATTTTTGAATGGGCTTGTTTGTTTTTTTATTTGTAGATCTGTTTTAGTTCTTTGTAAATTCTGGATATCAGCCCCTTGTCAGATGGGTAGACTGCAAAAATTTTTTCCCATTCTGTTGGTTGCTGATTCACTCTAATGACTGTTTCTTTAGCCGTACAGAAGCTGTGGAGTTCGATTAGATTCCATTTGTCTATTTTGGCTTTTGTTGCCAATGCTTTTGGCTTTTTGGTCATGAAGTCCTTGCCTATGCCTATTTCCTGAATGGTTTTGCCTAGATTTTCTTCCAGGGTTTTTATGGTGTTAGGTCTGATGTTTAAGCCTTTAATCCATCTGGAGTTAATTTTAGTGTAAGGTGTCAGGAAGGGGTCCAGTTTCTGCTTTCTGCACATGGCTAGCCAGTTATCCCAACACCATTTATTAAATAGGGAATCCTTTCCCCATTGCTTGTTTTTGTCAGGTTTGTCAAAGATCGGATGGTTGCAGATATGTTGTGTTCCCTCTGAGGCCTCTGTTCTGTTCCATTGGTCTATATCTCTGTTTTGGTACCAGTACCATGCTGTTTTGATTACTGTAGCCTTGTAGTATAGTTTGAAGTCCGGTAGTGTGATGCCTCTTGCTTTGTTCTTTTTGTTTAGCATTGACTCGGCTATGTGGGCTCTCTTTTGGTTCCATGTGAAGTTTAAGGTGTTTTTTTCCAGTTCTGTGAAGAAGGTCATTGGTAGCTTGATGGGAATAGCATTGAATTTGTAAATTACTTTGGACAGTATGGCCATTTTCATGATGTTGATTCTTCCTAACCATGAACATAGGATGTTTCTCCATCTTTTTGTGTCCTCTCTTATTTCGTTGAGCAATGGCTTGTAGTTCTCCATGAAGAGGTCCTTTACGTTCCTTGTTAGTTGTATTCCTAGGTATTTTACTCTCTTTGTAGCAATTGTGAATGGCAGTTCGTTCTCGATTTGGCTCTCTTTAAGTCTGTTACTGGTGTATAGGAATGCTTGTGATTTTCGCACATTGATTTTGTATCCTGAGACTTTGCTGAATTTGTTTATCAGTTTCAGGAGATTTTGGGCTGAGATGATGGGGTCTTCTAGATATACAATCATGTCATCTGCAAATAGAGACAATTTGATTTCCTCCTCTCCTATTTGAATACCCTTTATTTCTTTTTCTTGCCTGATTTCTCTGGCTAGAATTTCCAGTACTATATTGAATAGGAGTGGTGAGAGAGGGCATTCTTGTCTAGTGACAGATTTCAAAGGGAATGCTTCCAGTTTTTGCCCATTCAGTATGATATTGGCTGTGGGTTTGTTGTAAATAGATTTTATTACTTTGAGATACTTTCCATCAACACCTAGTTTATTGAGGGTTTTTAGCACAAAGTGCTGTTGAATTTTGTCAAAGGCCTTCTCTGCATCAATGGAGATAATCATGTGGTTTTTGTCTTTGGTTCTGTTTATGTGGTGAATTACGTTTATGGACTTGTGTATGTTGAACCAGCCTTGCATCCCCGGGATGAATCCTACTTGATCATGGTGGATAAGCTTTTTGATGTGCTGTTGCAATCAGCTTGCCAGTATTTTATTGAAGATTTTTGCATCTATGTTCATCATGGATATTGGCCTGAAGTTTCTTTTCTTGTTGAGTCTCTGCTGGGTTTTGGTATCAGGATGATGTTGGTCTCATAAAATGATTTGGGAATGATTCCCTCTTTTTGGATTATCTGGAATAGTTTCAGAAGGAATGGTACCAGCTCCTCTTTGTGTGTCTGGTAGAATTCGGCTGTGTACCCATCTGGACCTGGGCTTTTTTTGGGTGGTAGGCTCTTAATTGCTGCTTCAACTTCAGACCTTGTTATTGGTCTATTCAGGGTTTCGACTTCTTCCTGGTTTAGCCTTGGGAGGATGCAGGTTTCCAGGAATTTATCCATTTCTTCCCAGTTTACTAGTTTATATGCATAGAGTTGTTTGTAATAATCTCTGATGATGGTTTGGATTTCTCTGGAATCTGTGGTGATATCCCCTTTATCATTTTTTATTGCATCAATTTGGTTATTCTGTCTTTTCTTTTTTATTAATCTGGCTAGTGGTCTGTCTATTTTGTTGATCTTTTCGAAAAACCAGCTCCTGGATTTATTGATTTTTTGAAGAGCTTTTTGTGTCTCTATTTCCTTCAGTTCTGCCTTGATCTTAGTTATTTCCTGTCTTCTGCTAGGTTTTGAGTTTTCTTGACCTTGCTCCACTAGCTCTTTCAATTTTGATGATAGGGTGTCAATTTTAGATCTCTCCTTTCTTCTTATGTGGACACTCATTGCTATTTATTTTCCTCTAGAGACTGCTTTAAATGTGTCCCAGAGATTCTGGTATGTTGTGTCTTCATTCTCCTTGGTTTTGAAGACCATCTTTATTTCTGCCTTCATTTCATTGTTTATCCAGTCAACATTCAAGAGCAAGTTGTTCAGTTTCCATGAAGCTGTGCGATTCTGAGTTAGTTTCTGCATTCTGAGTACTAACTCGATTGCACTGTGGTCTGAGAGACTGTTTGTTATGATTTCCGTTCTTTCGCATTTGCTGAGGAGTGATTTATTGCCAATTATGTGGTCAGTTTTAGAGTAGATGTGATGTGGTGCTGAGAAGAATGTATGTTCTTTGGATTTGGGGTGGAGAGTTCTGTAAATGTCTATTAAGTTTGCTTGTTCCAGGTCTGAGTCCAGGTCCTGGATATCCTTGTGGATTTTCTGTCTGTTTGATCTGTCTAATATTGACAATGGGGTGTTAAAGTCTTCCACTATTATTATGTGGGAGTCTAAGTCTCTTTGTAAGTCATTAAGAATTTGCCTTATGTATCTGGGTCCTCCTGTATTGGGTGCATATATATTTAGGATCATTAGCTCTTCTTGTTGCATTGATCCTTTTACCATTATGTAATGTCCTTCTTTGTCTCTTTTGATCTTTGTTGCTTTAAAGTTTATTTTATCAGAGATGAGAATTGCAACTCCTGCTTTTTTTGTTTGTTTGTTTGTTTTGTTTTGTTTTGTTTTGTTTTGTTTTGTTTTTTTTTGTTTGTTTGTTTGTTTTTGCTCTCCATTTGCTTGGTAGATCTTCCTCCATCCCTTTATTTTGAGCCTTTGTGTATCTTTGCATGTAAGATAGGTTTCCTGGATACAGCATGCTGATGGGTTTTGGCTTTTTATCCAATTTGCCAGTCTGTGTCTTTTGATTGGGGCATTTAGTCCATTTACATTTAGGGATAGTATTGTTATGTGTGAATTTGATACTGTCATTTTGATGCTACCTGGCTGTTTTGTTGGTTAGCTGATGCAGATCCTTGATTGTGTTGATGCTTGTTACCATATGGTAGGTTTTTGAAGTGGCTGGTACTGGTTGTTCCTTTATATGTGTAGAGCCTCTTTCAGGAGTTGTAGAGCAGGTTTTGTGGTGATGAAATCGCTGATTACTTGCTTGTTCACAAAGGATTTTATTTTTCCTTCACTTATGAAGCTTAGTTTGGCTGGATAGGAGATTCTGGGTTGAAAGTTCTTTTCTTTAAGGATGTTGAATATTGGCCCCCAATCTCTTCTGGCTTGTAGGGTTTCTGCTGAGAGATCTGCTGTGAGTCTAATGGGCTTCCCTTTGTGGGTAACCTGACCTTTCTCTCTGGCTGCTCTTAGCATTTTCTCTTTCATTTCAACCCTGGTGAATCTGACAATTATGTGCCTTCGGGTTGCTCTTCTTGAGGAATATCTTTGTGGTGTTCTCTGTATTTCCTGGACTTGAATATTGGCCTG